ACACCCGAGCCTCCTCTCCTGGAGCCTCCTCTCCTGGCGAGGCCTCCTGAGCTCCTACGCAGACACCGCCCCATCCCGACACCCGAGCCTCCTCTCCTGCTTCATTCCTTCTTGGCAATTACACTACCAAACACTGTATGTGTATTTTTCTTTTCTTGTGTAAAGTCTGTTCTTCCTCAGAATTTAAGTCTGTGAAGGTGAAGATTATCGCATCTATTTGGTTCACTACGGTACCGCCAGCGGCTGGTATAAGATGCTCGGAATGTAAATGAATGGCTGGCGGCAGTTATTCGGTGAGTGTCTGTGGGGTGAGGGGGTCTTCGGTCAGGGCACGTTCTCGGACGCCTTGACTTAGCAGCGTGACGTGTGCACACGTCCTGGGACTACACTGCATGCGTTCTGTTCTGGACACCGTGCTTAGCAGCTGTGTGGCCCTAAGGGAAGTATTCCATCTCTTTTTCCTATGTGAAAAATACAGTGATAGACTTTCCTTCTCGTAGCCACTGTGAGAATTAAATGGACCAATACATACAAGATGTTTCCAACAGTATCTGGCATGAAATAAATTATTTAGTAGTTTAAATTTTTTTCATCATTGTTACTTATTCATAGTTGGCCAGTGCGCTAGCTCTTTACTGGGTGGGATCTCAGGACTCCTTTGTATACATCAGTAGACTAGTAGAACAGTCCCCGACAGCCTCTCCGACTTGGGGGACCCACTCTTCCCACTGCTTCGCGGAGTGAAACGCACAGAGAACAGAATGACAAGCAGAAAGGTGAAAACGGGCTAGTGACTCTGAACTCCAATGTGGCTTTGTTCTAAAATCTGAATTATTAAAAAATAATAGGCAAACGCATACACATGAACTGTAAGCTCTTGGGATTACAGACGCACTCCAAAACCGGACGCCAGGGTCTGAAGTCACCTTCTGTTATGCGAGCTAATCACACCGCTGCTTTATTACTAGGTACTGGAAGGTGACTGAAAGCCACGCCTCCCCCGCCAACTCACGCAGCGAAGACTATTTAGTTTGTTTGTTTTTTTCCAGTACCCGGAATTGAACTCATGACCTTGTGCTTGCCAGGCAGGCGCTGTGCCACTGAGCTAAATCCCCAGCCTCCAGCAAAGACTATTTAAACCAACTACCTAAGAAATGGTGGTCTAAGCTAACTTTTGTCAGGGAAAGGTTCACCTATATAAAACTCAAAAACATTCATGCCACCGAAAGGAAACCCATTTCCTGAGTTCTTACTGTTTTAAAGTTCTACGGAACAGTGTGGAAAGATATCACGAGACTAGAACTGACCACTCTTCCCAATCTGGGCCACGCAATCCTTACTGTGACCTCAAGAAAGGAGTGAAGGTGTCAGTTCTGCAAAGAGAAGACCAGGCATTTGCAAGATGTGATTAAAAGGATACGTGACCGGTGAAGTGTTCCCAATGATCCAGTAAATTGATAAGTTCACCATGAAAGCAATTATTCCAGACAGCAGCACCGTAAGCTACAAATAAAGCAAAGGAATCATTACCACACAGCACTGTAATTATTATAATCAAGGAGAAATATGTTTCATCACCATTTTAAAAACTCTAACATCAACTGTTAAAAACAAGACTTGAAGCTGAGCTTGGTGGTGTATGCCTATAATCCCAGTACCCTGGGAGGCTGAGGCAGGAGGACTGCAATTTCAAGCTCAGTCCAGGCAACTTATCAAGAGCCTTTTTCAAACACACAAAGTAAAGGCCGGGCGTGGTGGCGCACACCTGTAATCCCAGCACTCAGAAGGCTGAGGCAGGAGGATCGTTGCGAGTTCGAGACCAGCCTGGGCTACAAAGTGAGATCAAGGCCAGTCTGAACTGCATAGGGAGACCCTGTCTCAAAAAGACAGAAAAAAA